CCTCGGGACCACACCTCTCTCCTTCCCCCGCTGCCTCGCCCTGCGGCGCACCCGAGGGACCCGGCGAAGCGCCGACGCTTCGAACGCACCCGGGCTCCGCGCAGCTTCTGGTGCCTCGCTGACAGCAGGGCTGTCCCGGGCCCTGGCCCCTCTCCTCCAGAAGGGGAGGGCCGAGGGTGGCCCGTTACCTCTTGCGTTCTAGTCCAGCAAATGCAAAGCTGCTGCCTCGCTTCCTTTCATTCCTCCCTGGCAGCCCGGCTGCCCTTGGGCGGCTTCGCCTCCATGCAGAAGCGCTGCACAAAGCTAGGGTCGGAGCTGCTCCTGGCCCGCGGGGTGGGAGCGGGGTCTCGGGGGACGCCGCGAGCGGGTGGCGAGGCCGGACCCGGCGTTTCGAGAACCGCGCGGTTCCATTGGCACATTCCTGTACCGACGTGATGTGATGTGATGCTGCGGCTCCCCAGGGTCACCCCTGGCTCCAGGCTGCCCTGGTAAGTTGTTCCTCCAGCCTTTCCGGCCGTGCCAGGGCAGCTCGCTTTTTTTTTTTCCCCCCCGCGATCTGGACCAAGTGCATTTTGTTCTCCTGCCAAAAAAAAAGCAAGTTTATAACTGGTGTTGTCTTCCGAGACGCTATTAAAACATGACTAAACCTTTCCTGCGGCTCCCAGCCGGCCTGTCCAGGGTCTCTCTGTTTTGGCTCGAGGTTCGACATCGCCCTGCTTAGCAATTCTGAGTCGCTCCCAGCTCGCTGCGGCAGCCTGGCACGGAGACCTTGATGCTTCCGCTCGCTGCTGTCGGCAGGTGTCCAGCACGGGTTTCAAGAGGTGGGATCCATTGGCAGCTCCCAGGGAGGCTGTTTGACCCCTCTCAAATGCTTGCGGCCCTTAACGGTCATGATGGCAGGGACATGACGTGAGCAAAAACCACCTTGGGATCCCTTTTATCACCCTGCAAGGTGGAGGGGGCTTGTGTTGTGGCCTAAGCTGGAGGAGGTGTGTCATCTACTTTCCTGTCCTCATTGCGGGCAGGGCTGGGATGGTTCTTTGCTCTTCCCTAGCTAGCTGCAAGCCCAGGCTGCTGGCCACCTCCCAGGCTCTCAGCCAGCTGTGCTGAGTGGCTTGGAGAAGCTGCCTGAGGCTGCCCGACTTGGCACCATGTCCCTAAGTGCTGGGTGAAAGTTAATGGACAGGAAGCCTCTCCAAAGTGGTTGAGATCAGAGGGTGCGGCATGCTAGAGAGAGTGTAGGACAAGGGGCGCTGCCGCATGGGGCGCAGAGCGCAGCATGCAGGAGCAGGACACGGGATGTGGCCTGGGAAGAGGTGCGTGGGGCTGGGGCAGGGACTGGCTCGTCGCTCTGGCTCAGGCCTGCATTGAAAGGGTTTTGGGTCACCAGGTTCCTGAGGCTGGGGATAGTGCTCAGGGCTGTGAGCACCTGGCTCAGCCCTGCAGCCTGGTAACTGAGGTGACTTTAATAGGCCCCATATAGGAAGGAAGGGCTCGTGTACAGGAAACAGCTCTGGGCCCTTCTTGCTGGAGGGGGCTGGGCTTGGCTCAGCACTGGCTTGCTTTGGCTCAGTCCGGCTTTAACTCTGCTGACCCCAGAACAAAGCATTTCGGGCACTGGTCTGAGCAGGGTGGGAGACAGGCTGGCCTTGCAGCATTTCACTCCTGCTCGCTAGGCAAATGTTTGCCACTGAGAGGGCTGCAGGATGGGCCCAGCAGGGCCCTGACGCAGGCAGGGGTCCGTGCCATGGCATCGTCTGAAGGTGAACAGCTCATGTGACCCGCAGCAGAGGTGACGAGGAACCAGAGCTGTACCTGGACGACACGCGGTTCTGAATCCCACCGGGTACCGGGCTGGCTGGGACAGGCGCTCGTGTACCAAAGGGTGAGCTTCTTAGGCTGGCAGTGCGTGGGTTTGTCCCAGGTCTCTCAGCAGGGCTGTGCCCCTGGAGGTCCCTCTCCACAACCCAGCCTCCCTTCCAGGAAGTAGCTCAGCAGTGAACCCAAGGTAGGACACAGCCCAGCCTTCCCACCTGTGCAGGGAGAGGCAGCCACTTAGCCCGTGGTACAAGGCTGCTCCTTCCTCTTGCCAAAGCCAGCTGAGCCCGGCTGGAGAAGGGAGCGGGGTGGGGAGGACAGCACAGCGCCTGGCAGTGCAGCCTGGTTGGGCTCGCCTAGCTGCAGCCCTGTCTTGCCTGGCCACCTGGGCTGCTTTCCCGCAGCAGGAGCGAGGCGGCAGGGGTGAGGCCGCACTGCTGCAGGGTGAGGGCGTCATCTGCGTACACACGTGGGGGAAAGGTGCTGACGATCTCGTATGAGCTGGAGCTGCCGTGCCTAGGAAAGAACAGCATTAGCCTTCCTGTGAGCCAGCTCCCAGGGGTCTTACGGGGTGATGCACAAGCAGGGCGAGTGTACTGGGGGCACAGCCGGGCAGGAGGCAGCTTTCAGGCCAGGCCCCAGGCGGCCATTGCAGCTGGTGGCAGCTCTGAGCTCATGAGGCAGGACAGACAAGGGGCAGGGAAGGGAGAGGGGGAAGACGGCCCAGCTGGAGCTGCTTGGTGAAGGGCATAAGCAGCAAGACAGCTCTGACCAGGCTTGTAACTAAAGGGGCTGAGAGCTAACGAGCATCTGGGCCCAGGGTGGGCAGCTGTCCCCACACGCCAGCAGGCAGACCACAGCACTGGTCCATGCCAGCATGTGGATAACTGGGGGTGCCCGGGGCAAGGGGGCAGTGGTGCCTTGGGGAGGGTTGCAGAGGGGCAGGGCAGGGAGAAATGGCAATGCCAGACCTGTGTCCAGAACCAGGGGCAGGACAAGTGAGCAAGAAGGGTCTAGTGGAAGGAAAGTCCACTGAAGCTTCAGCTCCCTGGAGATGGGGGAGCTTAATCAGACCCCAGTGACCAATCTCTGGGGCTGATCCCAGTGCCCTGGGGCTGATCCCAGTGCCCTCAAGGCTACCAGGGAAACGCCGAGTAGGTTCAATTCCCCATAGTACCATACAGGCTTGGGTCCTGCGAGCAGGGAAACAGAGCCAAGGGACCAAATTCCCTCCTGGAGGTTGGCACCACCCACCGGCTCTGAGCGAGGTGCCGGCGCAGATCTCCGATGGTCTCCATGAACAGCATCTTCACAAGGTACGACTGCTCCCCGCTCTCCGACCTGACCCGCAGCGTACAGATGCTGGACGCAGGAGGCTGGTCCGGGTCCCCTGCCTTCAGCCTGCAAGCCAGACACGCCAGTGAGCTAGAGAACAGTGGTTCTGCAGCAGCACGGAGCCATGCGGCTAGCCGGGGTGAAGCGGGCCAGGCAGAACAGGCCATCAAACCCACTGAGTGACCAAGGGAAACGGAGCTGCTGGGAGACAGTCCAAGCTTCCTGATGGCTATGGGCAGCAGAGGGGCTGGAATCCCTGACCACCCACACCTGGGCTCAGCTATTTCGAAGGTGACCTGCACAACAGCCCAGAGCCCTTTTTGCTGCTTTGTGATGGGATGAGCTGCCTGGGACAAGGCTGCTCTGTGCTTGTGGCTTGAACCCAAGATCTCTGCAGTCAGGTCTGGGCCGGCCCAGGCACGTCAGTGCAACGAGATGAGGCATGTGGGTGGAACAGCATTCCCCGTGTTCAGCTCAGTCCCGGGGGCAAGTCTGAGGGCCAGCACGTAGCAGCCCAGCACAGGAAGCAAATGCAGAGAGTTTCAACTTCCTTGAGTTTTGCCAGTGTTTGCTACGCAACTCCAGAGCCAGGGCTTGTCATTAGTAACTGTGCAGCCTCTCAAAGCCAGGAAGGCTGGGCTTGGCCTGGTGGTTGTTTCTCAAGGAGCAAACAGGCAGCAGCAGCCCTGGAGGCCCAGCTCTCCCATCCTCTTTACCCATTATAAAGCAGCGAAGAGGAGCAAGGTCCAACCCCTATGGAGCTTCCCTGCAGGTCCCCATGGCACGCACATGGACAGGCCAGGAGCCTGCGAGAGCCCTGGTCATACAGATGGAGAGAGCCCTCACCTCTCCTTCGCTGCTGTGAGAGCAGGCGTTTCCACCAGGATCACGTCGCTGGCACATGACCCCTCAGACCCCTGAAAGGGAAAGCGTGAGCATTAGGTACCATCATCCTGGCTTAAAATATTGGGGGCAGCTCCCTCGTTCTCTGCCGCAGCTCAGAGCCAGGCTCTCTCCCCTGATCAAAACCAATGGCTCAAGCTTACCCAGCCCCGTACTGCTGCTGTATCCATGCCCTTCACATTCCTCGGGGCCTCCATGCTCACCACACCTGGTGAGGCAAGCTGGGCTCTTTGGTAAAGGTTAATTATGGCTTTGGAGCACTGCAATAATTACTTAACAAACCCCTGTGAGCTGGGGCTGGAGCTTCTTCTAGTCTGACACTTGATTTTTAAGCCAATAAAACAGCCTTCAAAGGGGCTGGTTGAAATGAAGAGTAAGAGCACAGTTTGTCTGGGGCAGAGACTTGCTTCCTTTATGGGGAAGGTGTTGGGGATTAGATCTGACCCCTGAGACAGCAGCTCAGTGTTTCACTTGGCAGGTGTGATGTGGCTGTGGAAGGGGCTTGTGGGGCAGGTGAAAGGGTGTCTGGTGCCCTCTAGCGAAGCCTCTTCTAACACCGGGAAGTTGCACAAGGCGGAGGCCATTCAGAGGACAGGGCCCAAGGCTGATGCTGTCACACTGATGCAATGCATGGTCTGTGGCATCAAGCATGCGCTCCTGCCTGGACACACCAGGGCATCCATCATACCTGCAGCGTTGCTTTGATGGACCCTCGCACATCAATCACGTGTCCATCCCGGATCACGGACCTGGGAAGCTTGTTCAGGAACTGCTCCAGCGAGAGCTTGGGACCTGCAGGAGAGAGGAAGTTGCGTGCTCCAGAGGGAGGCGGGGATGTCTGGACAGAAGAGTGTGTCAGGGCTGGAAGTTGAGTGGGAACATCTCCGTGTTGGCTGAACCCTCAAGTCCACGCTGAACCATCCTCTGCTCTGGGAAGAACCAGTGACACATGAGTTAAACCCCATCCAGCTAGAGTCACGTCGGGGAAGAGAGGCCTTGCCGGCAATGGAGGTGGGAGTCCTGATTGTATTGTACCACCTCGGGCAACATAGAATTACCTGTGACGTGGGCTCGTTACAATCATGCCTGGGAAAGAGCTGTTTTGCGAAGTGGCAAACGACCCAAATCAACAACCCCTCACAGCCTGTGTGTTAAATGGCAATATACATGAGACTCGCGTGTGCACAGGTTATATGGCTGTAGGCTGTGTGCAGCTGGCTGGGAATATATCGTACATGATGCACTACGTGCCGCCACTGGGGAGGATGTGAACATAGAAAATAGGGCTGGAAAAAACACCCCTGACCAGATGTACCAAGACCTCACCAGAACAGCCCTGAGGGCTGTTTTAGTGACTCTTGGAACAGACTTCTCGAATCCAGAAGGAAAAGCAGGAACACATGGCCTGGTCCTACAGACCAGGCCTGCCCCCACCAAGGAACAGAGGCACCGTGTCGCATCTGGAGTGGCAAAGAGGACGCTGGCGCCCAGGCAAGAAGATGCTCACCTCCATGTGTGATGTGCAATAGGACTGAACCCTGAACAGCTCTCTGGCAGGATGGGGGCAGGAGCTCTGCTGAGGAGCGAGCTGTGGGCGTGACAAGAGAAGGATGTGGGTTTCGGGTGTGTTCTAGGAAAACCTGAGCATTTGGGGGCATTTTTGTGACATTGCTCTTGAAATGCTTTAAAAACGTTTGTTTCTTCCCTCACTGGGAGACTGCCCTGAGCTGTACCGCTCCGAGACCCTCACCCACAGCTGCTTATCAGCTGGGCTTGCTTCTCCTTTCTGGGAGCACCGTGGCATTTCCAGGGCACAGAAGACACGGTTGAAGACTCACCTGGGATCTCACTGGTCTCCTGGGCTTCACTTGGCTTTGCATGCCCAACTCTCTGGCCCTGGCCAGGGAAGCTCTCTGGAAGCTGCCTATCCCGGAAGAAAATGTCTCTCTTGTCGGTGACCTGTCGAATGAACGCCAGAGGCCATGAGCAACCCCAGACACCAGCAAGTCCCTGCTCATGCTGCATCAGATCACAACAAAGCCTTCAGCCATGGTAACAAAACAGGATGTAAAAAAAACCTGGAGGCGGTAGCGGCTTTGAAGTTGGGGGCAGCCACAGACACCTTGGGTCAGGAAACCACATAGGTTCAATTCAGCCCCTCTAGCCAAATGAATTCAGACCTGTCTCCCCTCAAGTCAGCAGCTCCATGGTGCCTCTTGACTCTCAACAAACATATACTGCAGCAGATGTGAGCCAGGGGACCGGGTGGGGGCACACTTGTCCCAGCTAGATTTAAGCCAGGATAAGTAACAGTAGAAGTGTGGTGACACATGGGCTGCACAAGCGCACTGGAAACCTGCTGTGCTGAGGTCCAAGCCACTACAATCCCTCTTCTGGCTGCAGTACAGATCTGCGCTAGAGCACAGCAGGCCTCCAGCCTTGCATGCATTTGCTAACTGCCTTGAACCCAGCCAGCAGTGACCTGTTCCCCATAAGCCACTTCCTCCGTTGCAGAAAGCAGCCTTTCACTGGGAGGGGAAGTGGAAGAGCACTTTCTGCAGCCTCTGCCCAACACCTGACTCGTGACTGCTGCAGTTGCCAAACACGGTGGCTTTGAGTGAACCATCTTGCACCGAAGTGGCCTGGCTTCCGGAAGGACGGCCTGCCTAATTACAGACGTGTCAATGAGGCGGTCTGAGGGATGGTATCCTGTGCAGCTTTCTATGCACCCAAAGCTGCTCCCCCAGTTCTTCCTCCTTTCTGCCTCTTTGTAACCCAAGATTCACTGAAGCAGGCTGAGCACTCGGTGTTTCCTGTAGCGAGGGGAGCAGGTGTGTTCCCAGGCCTGGCCTTGGGGCCCAGCTGCTCAGCAGCGTGGGTGTGAAAACATCGTAGTAAATTTGCTGTGAGAGAGCTTTGTGGGGCTGGGCTAGTGCGACCAGCCTCCCTTTTCAGGGCTGCTTGCCTAGAGGGTGTTGCTCCCGAGGGAGCTGCTTGTCTTACCTGGAATGGCACGCCAGCCGGGTAGCGTGCCTGTAACTCGGAGGGGAAGTAGCCATCCAGGATATCCCGCAGGCATTGCTGAAACCAAGCAGGAAGGCCTCAGAGCCCAGTATTTCTACCCCTCCAGGGCTCTCACTCTCTCTTAGAATGAAAACTAAGAGGCTGCAGTTTCAAAAAGAAAACCCCCAGTGCTTAGGCCTATGCCTGTGGGACTGGGCTATGTGCTGCACTGGCACAGAATAGCCATGGTGTTTGCAACAAGCCCCACAAGAACTCAGATGGGGAAAAACTAGGAGCCCCCCAACAGCCATCGGTCCTCACCAAGTGCCTATGGGGGGCGTGAGACGGGATGGAGAGCGACGGAGCAAGCTCTACGTTTGCCCGTCACCCTCTCCCAGCACTTGCTGAAGGCACTCTGGACCGGCAGGATGGGGGCCATCTCTAGGGATTCGTCTGTACCTGTGTGGATGGCTCCTCGTATGACCGGAAGGGTCCACTGAACATCACTATCCCGTTCTTATAGAGAGTGAGAGACACCGATTCAGGCTCCCTCAGTCTGGCGCCTCCCGCCGTGTGCTGGATCTGAGACACGCCCTCCCCTGCCAGCACATTTAAATCCTTCAGGTTTTCCAAAATGAGATCAAAATCAATCGGGGGTTTTGGGGCAGTCGAGTCGCCTGCAGCAAGGAGAGCAGAGGTAGCGAAGGGGGGAAGACAAGCACTGAGCTCGAGCTCGGTGCCCACATGTCTGAGCCCTGGGCCCGGCTCCTTCCCAACCCACTTTGTTCAGTCACGGCGTTGCAAAGTGAATGAGCAGGATGCCATGGCAGCCTCTCTCAGCCACTTGGCAAGGGGGCATAGAGCAGCAAAGGAAGGCAGGAGAATCAGTCCCTTGGCAGCAGAGCTCATTTGTAGCCAGGCTGTGACACAGCCTGCTCTTCTCAGAGGCCATTTTCACCCTAAATTGCTTTTACACTTGAGTGTTGTCCCCTCACTCGGTGCTGTACAAGACCCACTGATCTAGCTGACCACCCGCGCTCAAATTGCACAGCCCTAGCTCACAGAGGAAAAGCCAATGGAAGCCCAGCTGCCTGACTACATGTGATCCCTCCAGCCTGTTGCCTGCACAGCCTGCCCTAACTCCTGGATTGCTGAAGAGGAGGGTGGGAGGAGGGGACACCAAGTTGCGGGGGAGTGGTGGGGGTGTGAAGGTAAGGGTGGGGAGAAGGAAGCTAGAAGAGGAAGTGAGAGCAGCGACAAAGGCAGAGAAGAGGCCACCTTTTCTGTTCTGCTTTTTTCACAAGATGCTCAACAGGAAAAAGAATCCGTCTCAATGAGAGAAAACTATAAATAGGACCAAATAAAGTGACATGTTAGCTCACAGAGGTTCTGCTTCACACCTACTGCTCTTCAGATACCATCTCCCTTACGTAAAGTAGTTGTGACAAGCAGCCTTGCCACTTCCCAGCACCAAATACTACAGGAGTCAACACGGTGTTACTTGCTCCCAACACAGCTGATCATGCAGGTGCTCAAGGGAAGAGAAAAGGCATTTTGATGGGATCTGAGAGCATGGATGAGTTGTTGCATTTATATTAAAGTACTTCTATTCTATTCTGCAAAAAGCCTGATTCTCACACCCAGTTATGTCCGGTTATGTGAGATCAGAATCAAGCTGACATTCAGGGAAATCCCAAGCCAGCAGCTATGAAAAACTTTCCTCCAGATTGTTTCCACCAGGGTTTATAAAATACATGTGTTCTGGGGCCCCTTTGGGCTATGATGCGCAGTCTCCTCTCGCTTGAAACAAAATAGTAGGGGGATCTCAGCATTTCCATGGGGAAATCATAATCACAGCAGGCAAGGACTTGAGCACCCAAGTCTTTTAAGGAGCTATCTGACTCAACCTGCACCCAGCTTTATCTTGACAGCTAAGCTTCTTTCATCTCTCTATCAGGCCACCTGCTCACTGAGCATCTTTGCCCTTGCTGTAAGGTGCTGCCACATCTTACCACCAACGGCCCACAGCCTGACTTCTGCACTAGCCTTGGCACAACAGCCTGTGACAGTTCCAGAGAAGTTTTGTGACAGGAGCCTGGCTGACTGGTAAGTCTGTGATTCCCTATTTGACCATACTGGAGAATTTTGTGCCTTTTCTGAGTGTTTTGTGACGGGCGGGTTGTCTGCCTGAAATGAGGGCACTGCGGCTTTACCTGGCTTCCAGAAAACCCTCGATGGCCAACTGGCCTCCTTCCCTGATGATTCCAAATCTTCCAGCTCCGCATTCTTCTCTCCAACCCAGATCAATCCATAGTCATTCAAAAATCGCTGCAGTGGGGACAGAAAAGAGGACGGGCTAGTTTGAGCACCATGGCACTATTAAAGGCTGGGAACCTGGAGGATACACTGCCAACAGTGGAGGCGGAAGTAGGTACTTCCCAGTGGGAGCATTTGACCTTGTAACAGACATCCTGATGGAGCAAGAACAGTGGCATAGAGCGTACAAAGCTGTATGAATTCGACTGTGTGGACCAGGGGTAAGCTACGTGAACGTTTTGAATCTGCAAGTTACTTTCTGTTGAATCTGCCAATGTACGTATAGTCTTACTTTATGTGGACAGTATATTCTGTCTGGCAGCACTCTTCCCCACGCTTGTGGTTGGAGTCATTTATTTGTGAATGCTTTGGACATATAGGACAGGACCTAGTCTCCCAAGCCTCTGATCACTGCAAGGACTTTGCTTCTCCTAAGCCAGGCAGGTCACTTGGGAGAGCAAAAGAAGGAACGGAAACAAAAATGCAGCTATGTATATCAATAGGAAAAGACCAGAGGAGGCCCAAGCAGGTGCATATGAAAGTTACTGAAATGTATGTCACTTAGCAGGGGTGCCTCAATGATCTGTAGTTACTTAGCTCCTTCCTCGCTAGGCCTTCAAAGAACATCCCAAACATTCATTGATAGACCCTGTGAGCAAGGTCAAGATTGGTGCCTCCACTGCACAGACTGGAAAGGAAAAGTATAGGTAGCCAGGAAACTAGCTCACAAAGCCAGATCAGTAACAGCACTAGGGAGAGAAGGCAGGGGTCCTGAGTCCTAGTGCTCTGCTCTGATCACCAGGGTACACAGATGCTGACGTGAGATGTAGCTTTCAGTCAGAAACAGGTATTATAGAGAAGCGCGCTGAAGTTTCGCATTGAATGGCTGAGCATGGATCGAGAGCTAGATTTGTGGTCTGGACTCAAGCAGCTTGCTCACCCTCTCAGTGATGCTTTCCCAGCAGCAAAATAGGGGCAATGCTGATCTGCTTCTGTAAAGCGTTATGGGAGCCCTGGGTGAAGGGAGTCAATACACAAAGTAGTGCTTGTATTATTCACTATTCCCAGGGCTTCTGCTTGATTAAGTAATTGTTCTTCACTTTCTGTCCTAGATCTGGGCAGTGTCACTGTGAGCTGCTGCGATCGATGTGAGTTGCTGCAATCCATCCTTACAGGTGAGTGAAGGGTTCCCTGTACTTGTGAGATCTTCACATCACAGCTGGATGCCTTTCTGGGAGCGGGGCTCTTTTTGAACCCAAGTAATTGGGCTCACTACCAGAATAACCGAGTGAGATGTAATGGCCAATGAGGTTGAGGAGGTCAGGCAAGATGCTCTTACCTTAAAATCTCTGAAATCTGTTTTTGAGCTGGCTGTGAAGCCTCCCAGGCTGCTTCAGGAAGCAAAGCATGGTTAGGACTGCCAAGCTCTTTGTTTTATGATTGTTAAAGCAAATGTCAAAATGGCTTGAAAATGTGAAGAGAGGAGAGGAGTGGCCAGGGGGTTAGGAAATGGATTAAAGGTGTTTCCACTTGTCTTCTCTGTACCCAGACAGGCACCAACAGTTGGTGGTAATTACATTGGTGGTTTAATAAGAACCAAACTTCTTTGGCGTGAAAGACTATTAACACCTAAATCCTAGAAGGAGAGGGGAGAGGTCAGGGGGCCTCACCTCCATTTCCCAGACTTGACGCTGCAGCTGAAGGCACATCACCTCCAGCTTCTCCACTTGGCTTGGCTCAGGGGAGTCCTCTGGGGAAAGAGAGAAAGAGACCTGAGATTCCTCCTTTTTGCTACAATAAGCCTCAGAGAAGGACAGAGATCATTTATGTCAGTAATGTCCCACATAACTAGGCCACAGCTGAACGAGTCTGTGAAGCACAGAAGCCGAGTGGGACCTCTTTGCCTACTTGCCTATCCCCTGACTGTTCCAGCTGGGTCACAGCTGATGAGATGCACAGACTAAATGACTTGCTTGGCAGGCATTTAGGGTAAGAGTTGGGGTGTTCTGGCATGATTGGTGCTGCATACAGTGATACACTGAAGGTGGCTTGACTGACCCAGTCCCATATCTGGGAACCTACTCGGACATCGGCAAGTTGCCCAGTGAAACAGGATCAGTTAGGCTGTGTTGAATGGGTGCAACAACATATAACAATGTTTATAAACCTTGCTTGTGGTTTGAAAAAATATTTCTGTTCTCTGCTTCCTGAGTAGATTGTGCCCTCAATGCTGATTTACAAGGGTGTCATGTTCTTGCAGAAAAAGGCATCTGGGCTCAGCTAAAGATGACTGCTGAATCCCAAAAAACTGCAAAGAGCATGAGGTGAAGAAAGCGACCTGTGGGACAAGGGACTCTTCTGAAGCAGGAAGATGCTTTGAGGTTTTCAGTAAACCTACAGCTGGCTTCTTCAGTCACTTTAAATCTGAAGCCTGGCATGTTTGTTCTTCTGACCACTTTTAAGCAGTGAAATAGCATTGAAACTGTCTTACTGCCAGAATGCATTGCTGCAGCAAAAGCAGGTCAGGGTGAGAGGGAGGGAGCGCTGCGCCAGCAAACTGCAGCTTTCAGTTCAGCAGCAGATGCAGGCATGAACTTGGATCTTACCTTTCCCTTTTTGAAGGACCTTCACCTTCCCCTGGAGATCAGCAATCTTCCTGTCCTGCAGATGTGGGACAGAAAGACAGAGCCATGATCTTGGTTAGAAGGTCTGCAGTAGAACCTTCTAACTGCTGGAGATGCAGTTTACCCGACAGCTTCAATAATGGCAGCTGGGCCTTAGCTACTGGGGGAGTTTGCTGTAGGGAGACTCTCTGCTTTCTGATCCATTTGGATCTTGTAAAATGAAGAGAAGAAAAGAAACATCCAAAACAGAAGAGTCACTGACATCAGCAAATTCAGTCATTGCGGTTCATTTTTACGCAGGATCACAGCAGGTTCAACACTCTAGTGCCTCCCCGCCCTCCAAACCGCATTGACAAGGCAGCAGTTGTGCTTCTGCGGTGGATGCTTTCTGTACTTAGAATAAAAGCCTTGTCTACAGATTATACTGCCTTAGTCCAAACTAGACCCAAACGTGGTCCTGCCTATTGTGGCTTACACCGTGAACAACCGGGCTGGCAATTTTACCTTCAGCTGGAGTTCTTGGGCTTGGCTCCTAACTTTTTGTTCCAACTTAATAATTTTCTGCATCATGGTGGACATGAGTTCCATGTCAGTAGGAGCTTCCCCTGAAAGCAGAAGTCTAACATAGCATCCAAAAAATCTTAATTCTGAATAATTCAACCAAAAAGTGCCCTTATGATCACCCAGTGCCCATTACATGAGTTGAAGGTTCAGTAAAAGAACCCAATTTGCCATTCAGGCTGCATGAATGGATTCCCTGCAAGTGCTGTGCGTGAATCCTTCTGTGGCCATGATTGGTGCATATATGGCCTTTGGAGCAGGCACTGTGTGTGTGTGTTCCTGGGACATCTGTCACGTCATATGCCCAGACTGTCACGTCTGGGCATATGAATCGAGGACTAATCACTCTGGACATGAGTGTTGAGTCCAAGGACTGTCACTGGGTGAGCCACATGCAAGCACTAGCTTATGGCTCAGTGACTCTTGTCCCATGAGGTACATCATTACCATGTTTGCTTGCTTTTGCTCTTCCCTTTGAACAGGAAGGGGATTCACTTGACAAGGCATCATTTGTCCTAGGAGGCAGGATGTCATTCAGCAATGCGGCTTCATCCTCTGAGAAGAGAAAAGGCAAAGGAAGAAGCAAGAAAAAGTTAGGTCAGATCTTTAAATGCACCTTCTCTAAACTCCTTGGATGCCAGGAAATAGGGGATAGATGATTCTATAGGTACCTGGTACAATTCTTTTCCTCTAAAGCATTCACCCCTGCCACCGTTGGTGCTGGGATACTGGGTTCAATGGACCATAGGTCTGACCCAGCATGTACTGGCAAGCATGCCTTGTCATTAGGGAATACTGGCAAGCATGCCTTGTCATTAGTGAAAGAGAAGCTTAGGGAAAGTGGTGTGACCCCAACTCACCCCAGGCAAATGCTCTCAAAGGTGCGAGCATCAGGATTTAACCAGGCATCCTGTACCGTACTGCTCACTACAGTCCAAGAGCCAAAGGAAAATATGGTTCTGTTGGGAGAGCAGGATGCGGGTGGACAGGGCTTCACCCAGAAGGTCATAACCCAGGGCATCAGAAGCAGACAAGGTCAGGAAGGAAGCTATGAATCAGACGATCAGAAGCAGGGACTGAAATATAGGTGGTCATCGCAACAGAGTCACAAGAAAACTGGGTCCAGGACAGGCGGTCTGGAGCAGTCAGCTGTAGCTGTAAGGGACCAGGAAGTGGGCGATCACCAAACTAAAGCCACAAGCCAGGAGTTGGCTGTCAGAAGACAGGGATCTAGATTACAGTCTGAAGCAAAGGGGTCCGAATCCAGCTGGGAGCAATTTAGCCTGCCTGCTGCCTTGGCCCCAAGAAGCCTTCAGTCTAAATGAAGATCAAACACCAAACTGTACTGGGATAGAGACTGTGATGCCAAGGCAAAGCATCTTTTTGTTGGGTGGAAGGGAGGTGCAGATAGACTGAAGGAGGTAAATGGCGGGGCCCAGTTTTAGTAACAAACTGCCAATAGCATTACATGGACAAGGATCATCGCTTAGGAGCTGCACAGAAGTGAGTTTCAAGGAGGGACATGAAGAAAAGTATTAGCACTGGGAAAGGGCAATATGGGGACACAGCCTAATTAAGAGCTAGTAATCACTGGAGAGATCTAAATTGTTCTAAAGCTTGCAAGGACATGGAAACCACACATCGCTCTGAGCAGCAGCACGTGGGTAGGGGAGAGAAAAAAGGGGGTGACAACTAGAAAAAATAGAGATGAGTGCACAGCCCATAAGATCTTGGGGCTGGTCCTGCTCTGAGCAAGGGTTGGACTAGGCGTGATCTCCTGAGGTCCCTTCCCACCCTCATTTTCTAGGATTCGAAGATAATAAGATCTTAACTCACCACTGCAGGCACTCTGTTTAGCTGGCTCAGGTTTTTTCCTGCAAGAATAAAGAGGGGATCTCGTACAAACATAGAGCAGGCAGATGAATGATCTGTTGTGTGATTTGGCTTAGAGGTAACAGCCCTGGAAATTACAATGAAATGTGTTGGTATAATACAACTGCCTACGCGCGCTTATCCTTTTGTGGCACTGATCCAAACCCAAGCAGCCCACTTCGCTTTTTCCCCCCCTGCTATGAGTGTGTTCACACAGCCAGCAAAGGCAGGGCAGCTTAGGAGTTGAAACTGCTGCTTGCCACCAGGGTTAGCTGCTTCAGGCTACAGAAAGGGGAAGGTAAGAGGCGCAATGCACCAGGCTGCGTGTCACATACCTCCTGTAGCAGCATGAAGGATCCCAGGATTTTCCCTGCCGTTAACTAGCTAAGATACTATTCTTATCAGCCCTGGGCTGTAGGGCCTTCTTCTGTAAAATGCTGAATAGGCTGGAGAATCCTTAACTTCTCCTGATTCAGCACCCTGAAGGTCAAGGGCAGAGGAAGTCCTCAAAAATGTTTATACCATGCAGCCCGTGACTGTGAAGTGTATTATGAGAGAATCTGTTGGCCCTCATGCCCCGATTATCACGTTTAAGAGAAGCGCTCAGGATGGAAACTGCAAAAGAAACAATAGCCCCCACGCTGCGTACAGCAAAGGTAACGCCTCATTTACCCCGGACTCTGGAGCTGCAGCGGGACTCTGCGATGCTTTCCCAGGGAGGAGAGAGGAGACGTCATGGCTTACAACTCGGTCCGCCCTAGATCCCGGGGAACGAAGGCGAGGTGATGCCTCCGGGCTGCGGGATGGGATGGAGAGTAGCAGGGTGCCTGGACGCGAGAGAGAGAAACCGTGAGGCAGCCGACGGATCTAGGAAGCGATCTGTCATCCCGCGCGGGGACGGGGAGAGGGGTCGTGCCGGGCAGGCGGGCGCGGGGGGCGTCTTGAGCGTGACCCGGCGTCGTTCAAACAAAGCAGGAGCCTGGCGGAGGCTGCAGGTCCCAGCCAGGCCATTC